CCTATTCCCTGTATTCTTACTCATGTTTATACTTTCACCTATTATCTTGTAAGCAATTGACCAATCAAATAAATAAATAAAAATAAAATTTTAAAAAAGCTTCCCTCTCATTTACAGCCTCCATGAAAGCCCGAAGGAAAAGCACAGCCTTGCTTAGAATCAAACAACCATTTTTTTATTTCCTACAATTCCCCTCAGCACTTGACATAACCCCGCTGAAGGGCATTCTGGGAAATATATAAAGGTTCACTCTGTCACTGCCAGCAACCTATGATCAGCAACATGTACAAACGGGCATTTTTGCAAATTATATTTTGAAGCTGTTCTCCAAGCAAACCGTCTTTTATATGGGGCTTAAAAGAGAAGAAATGCATTAAAAACAGCATTCCCTACACCCATGTGTATCAGTGTTTCAGGGCTGGCTGGTGAATTCTGGGAGTTGGAGTCCACACATCTTAAAGTGAAAAACACTGGTTTGTGAGCTTATGTCACATAGTTGGGAAGATGCCAGGAACCCAGATAAGCCTCGACGATGCCAGATAATTCACAATTGGCTCCCAACAACTTTGCTGTGCGCAGCTTCCCTTTTTAAACACTGTGTTCCCAGCTGCAGCTAATGCAGGGAATCAGGGCCCTTCCCTCCCCCATAAGCCATGCAACTCACGTTGCTCCCTTCTCCGTTTCCCCCTGCATGCCCTAGGATGAAGAAGGGATGGGTCTGGGTCTTCCACTGAATTCCCTCTCCCTTGCTCTACCTCTCCCTTGCTCTGCCCAGCCAGCCTTTGCCCTTCCCCAGTTTCCTCCACAGCCAACGGAGCCACACTCCCACTCCTTGTCATCTACTGGGCATCCCCCTCTGAATCGGATTCCGACAGGCACGACACCCCGTCTAAATGAAAAGGTCTTACAAATCTTGAAATAAATAAATCAATAGATTGTGCAATCACGCCCATGTCGCCTCTTACTTCCCCTCTGAACTGACTGCCTGATGCATCGAATCCGAAGGTCTCGAGAGCCTCCCTTGGGAGCTACCACCAGGGAAGCAGGTGCCACAGCACTGAGTCATCCTCAACACTTTTTCCCCCCCTAAACCAACAAGAACGTTTGTTTAAAATGGGACACAATCCTTCCCTCCCTGCTAAAAGGACCAGCATGCTCTTGTCCCAAGCTTATGATGCCTGCCTGAGTCTAAAGCCTGCATCCCTTAGAGACAAGAGATGCTTCCCACCTCCAGCACCCGCCTGTTACTATAGCTACGCAAAGACTTGCAGAGCGGCAGGTTTCAGGAATCTCATTGGCTCGGGAGGGAAGGAAGGATTAATTGCTTAGCAACGGTTCACTTGACAACTCTGTGACAGCGAAGGCAGAAACCCACCCTGGGAAAGGCAAGGGGCACCAGTTAGGGTGGGGGAAGAGGACGTGAGCAATGGGTTCTGGCATCCCTCTCTGTACTTCTTTGTCCACGTTTCCAAGCCAGCTGCCTTTAACCGTCTATAACCATAACAGCACCTCTATAACCGTCTGGTTTGGTTCTGCAACCCAACAGGACAGACACAGACTTCAGAGGAAAATTAGGACTGCAGAAAAAACAATTACTACCCACCCTGCCTTCCATCAACGACCTGTATACTGCGTGAGTCAAAAAGAAGCTCTAAAAATATATATAGACCCCTCACATCCCAGACAAACTGTTTCAACTCCTTCCCTCAAAACGACGCTATAGAGTACTGCACACCAGAACAACTAGACACAAGGACAGTTTTCCTCCCGAATGCCATTAGTCTACTATAAACAAATAATTCCCTCAACACTGTCCAACTATTTACAAAGTCTGCACTACTATTATTATTAATCTTCTCATCACTCCTTATAACCCATCCCCTCCCACTTGTGATTGTAGGACAGTAACTTTGTCGCTTGTATCCTTACGATTTATATTGACTGTTTCCTAGTATGATTTGATGGCTTATTGCACCCTATGACTATCATTAAGTGTTGTACCTGATGATTCTTGACTCTTGATGAACGTATCTTTTCTTTTATGTACACTGATAGCATTTGCACCAAGACAAATTCCTTGTGTGCCCAATCACACTTGGCCAATAAAGAATTCTATTCTATTCTATTCTATTCTATTCTATTCTATTCTATTCTAT